AACCTTAACCTGAGAAGGAGAGGACTTCAGACTGAGTGATGATCAAAAGGAGAAAAAACTTTGTTTGAAACTAATTTTAATAGATGAAAGTTAGAAATATGTACAGTTACCCTGAGCTGAGCCGTACAGGTAGCAAGTGCACAGTCACAACACCACGACATTCAAAGGCGCTGCAATGTGTAATCATATCCTGTGTTTTTATATGGACTCATAGACTGTTGGCTACAGAGTCCTGTTAAAGCCTGTATGGCACTGAGGAGAGACACAGAGCGGCCGTCACTACTTCTCGTTGCTAAACTACGTATAGTGACTATAATGTTGTGATAGATCTCATCGACAGCTGACATGTTGACTCATCGTACTTCCGTTAGCTGGTTCCAGGGTCTTATTGTTGGGCAGTCGCTGGCATCTCTGACTGAGACGGTATGAGGTGAAACTGAACAATCGTGGACGAACCATCTCCTGCTCTTCTCTTCCTGCTGTGACGAATCAAAATGTCTGCTGTGAGATTTGTAGCGACTTTTCCAGGTTGTCCACAGTCACATTCAGATTTAACACTGATTCAGGTCTTTGATCTGTATTAACCTGAAGAGGAAACAAGGCAAGATTCAATGAAAGGCCAAACTAAACAGCCATGAAAAAACTAACGAACATGTATATATGATTATCGTAAGATGCAGTCGGACCGTTCTACACCGCGCTAGGGAATGATCTGGCTATCCAAGACTATCTTCCTCCTGACAAATCATCATTTGCGACCTTCAGTTATTAAAACAATGAAAACAAAAACTATATGTGTACCCACAAAACCACAAATGACTTGATTGGATGATGACTATTTTGGGGAGGGGCTTAGTGAACTGTCAACTGTCACCATTTATGCAGCTCTGCAGAGATTATTTTTTACCTTTGTTTAGTCAGTGCTCGACAGCAAATAGCAGACAGGCCCAGGTGGAGATGAGCTGGTGAAGTTAGTGGACATTTAGCAGTTGAAGAGACAAACATTTCCTGCAGGAGCCGGTGGAGACCAAAATCAAAGCTAAAACAGAGTGAGTGTTGGACTGAGGTTCATCAGAGGAGCACCAGATCTCTGAATGAATGACCAATGATCAGTTCTTGCAAGTTTGAAAGTTGGTCTGAGAGTCACAGCTCAGGTCTCTTCAAGTCAGTATCATTAACTGTACAGTGATTTTAGAAATCAGGTGATTTCATAAAGGGGAAAAAAGAAATGCATGTTTTAGTTTAATTATTCATCAAAATAGATTCAGCTCATTAACTTACTTCCTAATTAATTTGTGTTAGTTAATATTAGCTGAGTAATTTGTGTTAACAGCCCAGTTTCATCAGCTGCTGAAGCTTCTTATTAGATCTGCTTTGATATTTTCTTCTTGTGTATAATTCAGTTTGCAGTGCTTTGCTCCAAATAAATCTAATGTTCCTCACATCTGACATTTTAACTTTATTATTTAGACCTGTTTCAAAACAGCAGTTTAACAAAAAAAACATTTATTTATCAGTATAACTCATTGAACTCACATCTTAATGTTTAAAAACTACAGCATAAACTGAATATTTGTCAATTTCTGAGAATTAAACGTGTTGCTTGAATGTGCGTTTGGTCTTTTACTGCTTCTCTTGATCACGAAAAGCAGACAGACACGTATTTGCATTGTGTCGTCTGCAGAAACCGGAAAAGGAGAAGAAATAGATTTTTAAAGGTCAGAGCTGCTTACGGTGAATCATCTACTGACACGATATTGACTATTGTCAGACTTCACTGACAAGAATCAAATGTAGAAACTGGAATAACTTGAATCTGAAAGCAACATAACTATGAAACTTAATTATTACTGCACAAATGAAAATGTAAATTGGTCTGATCGTGCTGCTCCGGTCAGACTGACGGTCACGCTTACCTATCAATCAGCTTAATTAATGAGTGAAGATCTGATCACATCTCACAGCTGTCAGTCAACAGGATGACTGACAGCTGTGAGATCATCTGTTTGATTTTCCTCAGAGCAGCATGAAGATGATCTGGACCGTTTATAACAGACCAGTTAGATAATGTGATTGTAATAGATAAATAATGAAGTTAAAGTGTTCTCTGAGGGTTTTTATCAATTCTCTGTTTGGTATTTTATTGTTGTTGTTGGATGAATTATTTTCTGTGTACTGACAAAGTCATACAGGTCACATCTTACAGATCGCTTTATGTTGTCTGAGCAGACAAAAATAACATCATCATTTGTCAGTCACAGTCACTGTTAAAGTTTTTTCCCTTTATAACTTATTCATATTTTGCTTATGCTCCACTTTCATCATTGGGAATTCCTAAAAATCTCATTAATATGCAGCTGAACAGCAAGAACAGACACTTGTTTTCCCAATAACATGCAGAGGACATTTTAAAAATGTTCAGTAACAATACATAAATTAGGGCTGCACAAATTGGGAAAAAATGGCAAAGTGATATTTTGTTTTACTGTGATATATAATGTCATATGAAAAAATACAGGAATTCTGCAGCAGATGGAAAGAATGACCAATTCTAGAAAGGCTGGGGTGAGTTTGTGGTGGACTGCATCAGCATCCAAAACAAAAATTCTGAAAAAATCCATTCAAAAACCAATACTGTATGACACTAGCAAAGGCATTTCAGCTAGCTACTGGCTGTTGGATGGCATTCAGATCTGGCTTTGCACTGGTCATACAAGGCTTTGCAATTTAAATGGTAAAACATTTTTTTGTGCTGCCTCGTGTATAGTGGCAACAATTGTCACACACTGCCAATGGAGTATTTGTTGTGGTCAACACCAAACCTTCTGTAGTACAATGCGCCTGAACTCGAATTGCACCACTTGTAATGTGACTGTAATTTAAAATGTCTTCAGTCCGCTTCATCACATGTCCTGACTGAGGCATCATGAAGCAGGTTTCTGGTCCTCTTCTAAAACAGTCCTGGACTTTCTACGTCCTCCATCCACCCAGACCTCCTCCTTTTGACTCTGATGCGGTTCTGGAAGGTGGAGCTTCAGTCATTCAAGCAACATCATCCGGCGGACTATTTGCACCCAATAGTCACCAAGGAAGCAGTTTATCAGGATCAAACCCAGAAAATTCCAGGTGTTTGTGCATCATTCAGTACATACTTCAGCAAATAATGTCCAGCTTGACAGATCTAATGGTTTTCGAAAACTTTGGAATCTGCACAAAAATTTAAAACTTTTTTTGTTGTCGCTATTTTGTTGGTGCTTAACGCACAGAATTAATTTGTAATGAGAAATGTTTAGATGGTGCTTCTTCTGGATTGTAATTAACCTTTCCTCCCCTAACAATAGAATTAAAGTAGTGTAACGCTGTCAACACCTTTGTTAACTTAGTCTGGTCCAGTGCTTAGAGGCCTGAGAACATCCACCACAAACAAGTCAAGGAAAAAAAAAAATGTCATACTGCATTTAGCCCAGTTAATTAAAAATAATGAGGATACCCTCTATGGCAACTACAAATAGGCAACGCCCTCTTAAAAACAGGCAACGACTTCACAGTCCAGACACGCAGCACTGCAAGGGAATCAGCTCAGATCATAAAAACCCAGCACTGCACAGCTTCAGATGCTCAACAACCAACATCACAGCAACTTTGAAGGACCTCCACAAAACCATCTGCATTTCTAAGGCTTCCTGTCTTTAAGGATTACCATAAGCAAGTGTAACCGAGAGTATCTATAATCTTAAAATCTACTATTACGACAAATAATAAAGACAATAAACAATGTAGCACACACATTTTTCATGGGGCAAACAGGATTTAGCTCGCCGAGGTCTGAACATGGGATCTCCTGGCTAACCAGGAATTGCTGGCTGAGTAAGGTTTGGACAGGCGCTATTATCAGCAGAGAAATGTCATTTACTTTTGACAGGTGGCAGCACCGAGTGATGGTCAAAGCACATACAAGTCAACAAGTCTACAATGGCCTGTATATTTAGCTTTGTGCTAATGTACCTGAAGGTCTTCAGCTCTGCAAGAACATCTGAGAACACAACAATCGTAGCCTACACATAAGGCTGCAAGTGTTTCTATCACTTTGGAATTCAGATTCACCTGAAATATTGCTGCAGCAGAGGAAGGAAAGAAAATTTGACTCTTAAGTTTCATTCTTAAGAATTGTCTTAAGATATGTTTTAAGATATGTCCAACTATGCGCAAACGCTTATTGTCTTTCTGTTTGAGTTTTGTCTTCGCTTTAACTGCCTTTAAAAGTTTGTCTCTCAACTAAAAACATCAACACAAACATGAATGATGACTTTATTTTGCTCACTTGGCAGAGAAGGCGGGACACAAATGCATTCTGAACTCTAGAGAGGATTAGAGTAATACTAATAAAGATATAAATAAATTAGGCAGATTGTTGACTTTTCTGTCAATAATCAATACATTGACGACAGTCTGTGTCGTCAGCAGGAAGCTGCTGTTTCCATGACGGCGACCTCTGAGCCCTGAACAAACAGAGCTGCTGATGAGTTTAAAGGTCGAACAATGTTTATTCTTCATCCCGCTGAACGCAGCACACGAGGTGAAACTCTGAGTGTGAGGACAGATACACCATTTTTATTTTGTAAGTAATTAATCCAAAGCTTCAGTTCTCCAGATCAGGTGTATTTGTCACAGAGTTAGTTTATCTGGAGAAGAGCAGACACAAAATGTCTGATTGGTCTCACTCAGACTTTTATAGACATTTTCATTCACTTAAGACTTTGGATTTTGTCCCCAATCACTTACACTGAAAAATAAAACATGGATAATACAACATGAAATGTCTGTTTCCCTGATTTAAACTAGAACAAGTGAAATGCTAACTGGAGATGTTTAGCCTCAGATTCTGGCACATTGCATATGATCAGAAATAAATAACACACGACAAGAAATACAGAAACTGTTTAGCTTTTATTTAAGGCAGATGTTTTGTTCATTTAAAAAGCCGCAAAATGGTTTTCTTATTTTTTGTTTTCATCATATTTATTTTTTGCTACATTTTGTATCAAAATAATTGTAATTCACAGTGATTTTCATGTAAAAAAGTAGAAAAGAGAAAATTAAGGGAAACGGAAAATGTTAAACCTGCAGCAGCATAAACTACACAAACCAACCGTTTGTTGGGTTTACACTGGGCTCACACTACCGCAATAACATCCAACATGTTTGATATCTAGTAGTAAAAATCGTGGTGGTTACTGTTATCACAAAAGTGACCTGAGCAGGGCAATGCTGAACAATCTCGCCCTTGAGACTAAGGTTAGCTAAAGGTATTAAAATCGATAGTTAAAGTCTCACCTCCAGTTTTCTCTGAATAAATTAACGATGTTGATCACATCTTGCCAACCATTTTCTTTTCCAGAGTCATTCAACTTTCTGCTTTTGCTATTTTTCTCACTGCAAAGTGTCGTGAGCGTTATAGCAAGTTGTTGCACCAAAGTCTCCATATTGCTTACATCTGTTTCCCCATGAGATCATGTGAGGTGGTGCTCCCTGATTGCTCCCTCTGGCATTTTAATAATATCCTATAGTGTGTGATGTGTCATTATTCTTCAAGTCTTGTAATGTGTGGTCTAAACATGACTAGGTTTAGGTTTGGCTTCAGATAAGTTCTGTGTGTCATCATGGTTGGGTGACCCAACCATCCACCCCAATCTCCTCCTCGCACCATCTTTGTAGCTCTATAAGGACCGGACTGCCTGAGTTGTTCCTTCATCATTAAACTGCAACCACTGGGGGAGCTGTCACAGTGAAATCCGACTGTAGGTCAGAAAGAGCTGCTGCTTTTTATCGAGGACAGTCTCAAATAAACTTCTCACAGTTTATCATTTTGAAAGGAAACATGACCAACAGCCTGATGAACAGCAAGTTAGATGAGTCTCTACTCTTCATGTCTTCTGGTTTCCATCCTGTGAACATTCTGTGAATAATTAGATTTTACTATGAATAAATTAATCAATTAGATTAAAAAATATGAGAAAATACATTTAGGAGGAGGCCGGAGCAGAAGCATAAAAAACATTGATTACGAAATAAATTATACAAAAGAGAATTTGAAAAAAATAAGGAGGTCGTTGAAGCTGTAGAGCAGAGAACTGATGACAATCTGCTCTCCGTCCTCTGAAATGGTTATTTGTTCAAATCTGAAGATGCCATTTAAATGTGGGAGTCTTCCATCACTGATTCTTCCTGGTCACCTCTTCACACCTGTCTGCCTGCAGGTAAACAAACCAACAAATAAACAAATGGTGAGACTTTTACAGCAGAAAGCTCCACAAATGATTACCTGCTGCTGTTTCCATGTGAACAAGTGTCTCATTAGACTGAACTAAGGTCTGTATTACACAAACAAAACTCTAAGAGTTACTAACAACTTATAAGGTCCAAATGTGTTAAAATAGAAAGTGCTGCTGCAGTCTTGTAATCAATAATATTATTTAAAATACCCAATAACGTTCATATATATTTATATTTCTGCTGTTAATGGTCCAAATATCTCCCTCAGTTGAAGCCATGGTGCTGTGATGTTTAAACAAACAGGACTATGAGTTATATATTTCTGGGCTGAGCATAAAATATAAAGGCTGAGTATAAGCTCAGTGTTACCTGTCAGTGTCTGAGTTTCACCTGCCCTTCAGGCGGAAACGCTGAGCGCTCTGCACCGTGTTCTGAAACAAAGACATCCACGAGAGCACAGCACCGACAGTTAAAACAATAACGACTACAACAAAACCAGAAAACCACTCGGGATCGATGAAGTTTTAATCTTCACATATTAACCCTGAATGAATCATCATTTCGCCTCCTGAGCTTTTCAACCTGCAGCACATCCAAACTCTTAAAACTGTCACTGTTTTTCCACATCGATCTGTTCTGTGGTAACGTTTTAACAGCGTTTTAATGCCTGTTAAAATGCTGTGATCTGATTGGCTGACTGTTGACCAATCAGCTGGAAACATCAGATGGGAAACAAGCTGATCCACATTCAAACTCAATGATTCTAAGTTGTCATTAAACACAAAACAGAGTCTGAAGCAGGACGTACTGCACACACGACCGTGCTTACTGATCACAGTGAATTATTAAACATTTGACATTCATCCATCCATTATCTATACACCGCTTAATCCTCACTACGGTTGCGGGGGGGATGAAGCCTATCCCAGACCTTGTGGGAGGAAGCCGGAGAACCCAGAGAGAACCCACGCTGCACAGGGAGAACATGGAGACTCCACAAAGAAAGATACCGGGTGTCCTCACTGGGATGCGAACTGGCGACCTTCTAGCTGCGAGGCAATGATGCTAACCACTGAGCCACCTTGCAGCCCTATTTGCATTCATGAGGATTTTTTTTCTTTTGAATTTGAGGCCATAAATCATCTCAATTTAAAATATTTGTAGAAAATAAACTTAACAAATAATAAATGAAATGATATGAGGTAAAGACCAGTGACTAAATAAAAGAACTAAAAATGATAGGTAGATAAATAAAAACTTAAAATACTACTAATAATACTACTACTACTAATAATAATAATAATAATAATAATAATAATAATAATAATAATAATAATGATAAAATTACCTCCATGAGCATGGCCACTGTCATGGGCCCCACCCCTCCTGGAACAGGTGTGATGAATCCTGCTCTTTCTTTGGCTGAGGAGTAGTGGACGTCTCCAACCACCCGTTTCCTGCTCGCCTTCGTCTCATCTGTCGCAGAGGTATGAGTAATCCTTTAGTACAGTTTTACAGCATTCAATTCAGCCTCCAGAAAGCTGAGTTATTGATCTGTTGACTGATTTATTGGACCTGAGACGTAGTTGATTCCGCAGTCGATGACCACAGCTCCCTCCTTCACCCACTCTCCTCTCACCATCTCCGCTTTGCCGGCCCCCACCACCAGGATATCAGCCCGGCCCACCTGCAATAAACAATACAACACATCATCAGCAACGCATCAGTTCCTGCACTTTTAGGCCAAATGAAGAACGGCTTGAGTTGCCAATCACATTCAGGCGACACCTGAGTGGTGTTCTACGAAGCAAAAACTAAATAATACCTTAAATGCATGAAGTTTAAAGTTTAACAGCTGTCAGATTAGAAATAAGCAGCTGCACTGAGAGGGAAAATACATATGTTGATTTGCATGATTAAGAGTTTTGGCAGCACTTTTTACACTGATAGATTTGCATATGTACTCACAGCTCTCCATCATAACAACTTATTCCTCTGAGTGAAATAAGCAGCCCATGATTAATTCCTTTTGTGTGGAAGAAGAGTCACATTACGT